TGATACCATTTGTAATGACTCAGATCCACCACTAGCAGATATTGTCCTCTCTAGGTTTTTCCTTTCGGACTTCCCCTCAAAGCTTTAAAACGCGTCTGTTAGAGAAAGGTTGGTTGCCATCGTCCAGTGTCTGGCTCTGATACCATTTGTAATGACTCAGATCCACCACTAGCAGATATTGTCCTCTCTAGGTTTTTCTTTTCGGACTTCCTCTCAAAGCTTTAAAACGCGTCTGTTAGAGAAAGGTTTCCACGTCCTTACAAATGGTGTTTTGTTTTTCTCTTCCACTTATTTTTTAAACAATTTTTTAAATTAAAAGCTATTAAAAAAATTGTAAATGTGTTTTTAAAGTTTAAAAGTATTAATAAAATTTTTGAAAATTAATGATATTTTTTGAAAAAAATTGAAGTATTAATGAATCTTTTGAAACCTTAAAATATTTTTTAAAATTAAAATATATTTTTAACGTTTAAGGTATTTTTTATGTTTTATATATATATATATATATTTTACAAAATACAAGGTTCAAAGTTAATTTAGGGTAGTAATTCAAAATAATAATAATAATAAATAAAATAAAACTAAAAGAATAAAAACACAGTGAATATAGTTTCATAAGCAGCCTTGTAGTCTTCAACACCCAATTTATTATTACAACTAATAATCCAAGAGTTCACCAAAAAAAAAAAAAAAAAAAAAATTAAAAACTTAGGTTGGGACTTGAGAGCCATCGCATCTTTGATTCCTTCACGTGACTAGAAGCATGTTTCCAATGCACAGCAACAGCACAACCCCGCACAACTGCATTCCAAAATATTTCATTTTTTATTTTTAAAAAAAATTATATATATATTATTCAATATTAATTTTAAATTAAGTTCTTTCCAGTTGTTTAAGTCATTTATTTAAATTTATTTTTAATAAAAGTAAAATATTTATAGGTTAAATTAATAAAAAAAAAATACCCCATTTCATCTAAAAATACCGTTATCGTTAGTTTTTTTTATTGATAGTTGTTTAAAAAATATTCCATTTATACCCTTCAAGTTCTTAAAAAAATTCAGAAATATTTTTTTCCTTAATAATATATTTAAAAAATATCTATCTAATTTTAAAGATAATGTTACAGTTAAAAATTTATTAGTATTTTTAAAATATTTATTAAAATTTTCTTTTAAAAATGTATTATAAAAGTTTTAAAAAATATTAAAAGTATTAATGAAAGTTTTAAAAAAATATTTTGAGTAATAATATTTTTTAAATAAAATATTAACTAATTATATTTAAAACTAATGAATATTTTTGAATTTCTTCCTAAATTTAAGAATATTTTTTAGTTTTTTTTTATAATTTAAAAATATTATTTAAACGTTTAAAAGTTTATAAATGTTTTTGTCATTTCAAAATATTTTTATTAATTTAGTCAGGTTAATAATCTATTTTCAAACATTAAATTAATATTTATAACTCAATTTTAATATATATTTTTAAAAGTGGGATAAATAAATCAATAAATTTATATTATTTTCAATTCATAAATTTGTTATTTATATTAATTTAATTAAAATATGCAATAAAAATAGTATTTATTTATTACCAGCCTTCCAAACAGCCCTCGGCCATGCCTCTAGACTTGGTCACAGCCGGAGCAGGAACAGGAGCAGGTGGAGAGACGTCTCCGCCGTATCTTACCGGATACCCCGCCGGCGGCGGAGCTGCATAACTGGGTGGCGCGGTGGAGGGTGGAGGATAAACTTCTACACAAACCAAAAAAAATAAAAAATAAAATTATACATTAAAATAAAAAAATATATAATATGAAAGGGATCGATCACCTGCAGGCTGAGCGGAATTCATCTTCAGAAAATAAAAATTATATTAGAAAATAATTTACGTTTTAAGTTTGTTTGATACACTCTGTGTATATGTGTGTGTATATATAGGGGAGAGAGATTTGGAGGGGGCGGAGAGAGTGGTGTGGGAGAGGCTCCGACCAGGGGCGGCGGTACCGCGTGAAGGGAAGAGAGAAGTTAGGAGAGAGAAAGTATATTCTTCTTTCTATGTAGGGATATAGAGAGAGAAAGCTGGTAATTCTGTTGTCTTTTTTTTCTTTTTGGGAAAATATTTTTCTTTTTGGATTTTTATTTATTTATTTTAGTTAAATTTCAATTTTTGGTATTTAAGATCTATTTTTGTAATTTCAGCTCTTTTTTTCCTTTTTTTTTTTGCAATAATTTTTATATAGAAAAAATTGGATTTTAATAATATTTTACGTATACAATAAAATAAAGAGGCTCATATTTTTAATTTTTAAAATAAAAAATTGTGATATTCCGAACGAGAACGAAACATCCTTTATAACGTGGAAACTTTTACTAGTAGACGCGTTTTAAAGCCTTAAACCCGTAAGGAAAAGCCCAAAGAGGACAATATCTACTAGCGATGGACTTGAGCTGTTACAAATGGTATCGGAGCCAAACACTGAGCGATGTGCTAACGAGGAGGCTATTCCTCGAAGGGGGTAGACACGAGGCGCTGTGCCAGTAAGGATGTTGCGCATGGTGAACTTGGGCTGTTACAAATAGTATTAGAACTAGACACCGGGCACTGTGCCAACAAGGAGGCCGTTCCTCAAAGGAGGTAGACACGAGGCGCTATGCCAGTAAGGACGCTGTGCGCGGTGGACTTGAGGTGTTACAAATGATATTAGAGCCAGATACCGGGCGCTATGCCAACGAGGAGGTTGTTCCTCGAATGGGGTAGACACGAGGCGCTGTGTTAGTAAGGACGCTGCGCACGGAGGCGCTGTGCCAGTAAAGACGTTGCACGCGAAGAACTTGGGCCGTTACAAATGGTATTAGAGCTAGACACTGGGCGCTATGCCAACAAGGAGGCTATTCCTCGAAAGGGGTAGACACGAGGTACTGTGCTAGTAAGAACGTTGCGCACGGTATACTTGGGGCGTTACAAATGATATTAGCGTCAGACACCGGACGCTGTGCCCTAAAAAGGGTGGATTTGGTAGGAGTCCCACGTCAATTGGAGAAAGAAACGAGTCCAATCCAGAATACTAGATCCTAAAAGTGGTCAGATTGTGATATCCCAAATGAGTTAAAAACAACTTTCAATATAAATTTAATGTTTTTAAACTTAAAAAAAAAAAAAAAATTTAATGTACATGTAAACACAGAATTTAATTTTATATTCAAAATATATTTATTAATTTTAAAAATAGAGTTTAAAGATCTCTTAATTATTTTTAAAGTTCAGAAGATATTAGAAGTAATCTATTTTTTTTTTATTTTTTTATTTTTAGAAAATAGTCATTTTATAAATTAAAAAAAAAAATTGTTTAATTTGTAATTGGTTTTACATCAAATCTGTGTTCTATCGTTCTTGCCAAAACTATACAAACCTTTAATTGGAAGCTTAGGATGTCGATATGTTTTCGAATCTTTTCAGTTTTTTTTTTATTTTTTTTTATTTATAATTTTTTCCTATTAAAAATATAATTCGTCACGCAAGAGACCAACCAGTAAAACGGATTGAAATGTAGCTCAAGTCTTAAATGAGTTAGACAAGCAGATCCCGACGTTAAAAAAGAGCACATATTTAAAATTCAAGAAAATGAAAAGCTCAAAAAGTAGAGGATATGACAGAAACAAAATCCTGTACCAAAAAATTGAATGAAAAGTTAATTCTCAAAGGGATCCGAGCACAACCAACAAAATAACCCGAGTCAAATAAATCTAAACGAGGGGCTTAATCTCGATATACCTGACAACAATGTCTATCCAACGTTGAACTCGAGGATTTAACAGCTGACTTAAAAATTCCTTTCAGGGCAAGCAATTGAATATAATTAGACCTGATAATACTGCTTGTCTAGGGTCGAGACCCGAAATTTTACTGTGGGCTTAAATATTTCTTCTCGGGCAAGCAATCAAATAACTAGATATGGTATAAAATCGATTAGACTTTGAAAACTATAACGTTTATGACCATAACTTAACCAAGATTTGGTTAGGTTAACTAAACCATGGTTTAGTTAACTGTTTTGTAAACCAACATTTATAAGGAGGAATTTCTTTATATTTTATTTTTTTATTCTGATTATCAATAATATTAAAAATAAATTATTTATATATAAAGTAATATAGTTACTAATTTTTTTCTTTTAAAAACTATTATTATATTGTAAAATTTTAGGGCAAACATTTAATTTATGCATTTTCGAGACACGTGTAATTACATACGTACACATATATATAGGAGACTTATCCGATTTAGCGGGGTTTTTTTTTTTTTTTCAAGCTTAAGCTTGATCTAGTAGTGTGATTGGGTGCCGGGAAAGATTGAACAGAAACTGGAGCATTGGATTTTCCGATTTCCGTTGCTGAATTTATGCTTAAGGATTAGTCGAGGTTTTGATCGTTGAGTTTTGCTATAACTCATTGATTTTCTTAGCTGTACATCTACTCGATCTTGCTTGGATTTCTTCCGATTTTAATTTCAGGTATTGTGTAGTAAAACTCGGTTGATGTTTTTATGATCTTGTGTATTACCTAGTTTTAATTATTTTAGAAGGCTGCTTTGGTTGGTGAGAAGATTTTGTCGTATTTTAGAATAGAAAAATTTGTGGTGCATTCGATTTACTGTCAATGGAGTGATGACTGATGAAAGAATTTAAGGTGCGGTTTCTCCTTAGATCTACGTCAATGTTTTTTAGAGTCCAAAGGCGACGGCACTAATCGATATGTATCTGATTGGGTTCAATTGATAATCCAGGACATATCTTCAATATAGGTCTTTGATGCTTAAGAAGTGAAGTTTGATTGCCAGATATCTTTCCAAATCGATTCTCAGTACAAATGCTTTCAAGTATTGGCATCTGTTTGAAGCAACATTTTTTAAGCCGTTTCTTCAATTTGTGATATTACTGGACTAGAATCATCTGGATCACTTCGGTCTTAGCCAGTTGCTGTTTTTGATAGATTTTGGAAGTTAGAAATTTAGCTGTAGAAAGGGAGATAGATGAAGCCTGAAACTTGGAAATGTCTTTGTTCTTCCAATACTGAATAATTTTGTTATTCCGGCCCTCCCTTTCTTGGCAATGTGGAGAGCCAAGGGCGGAGCGAAGATGGAACATTGCTCTCCTCTTCGTTCGTCTTGGGTTTAAAAAGTTTATAAAAACGTTTAAAGTTTTCTCAATGCTTTGTCCTTGAACCTCTTAAACTGAAAGATTCTATATATGAAAAGTTGAAGTGCCAAAATTTTTCCCTTCCTCGTGGAGGCCTTCTAATCAAATCTCTTTATCTAATAGGATTAAATCTCCAGCCCCCTATTTCTTGTGCAAAGAAAAGAAAAGCTATTATTTATTTCTTTTCTTACTATACGAGGGTTAACTAACTTATATTGAGCTTGGATAAGTTAATTTTTTGTGACATGAATCATATCTATAATCCACATTATTTTTTGATGTTCTGTAGCAAGGCTTTCAAGGTAATATGACTGAAAACTACAGCAATGTAAGTGTAAGCTCAAGCTCAAGTTTGAGTAGTAGCATCTTGGCGGAGGAAGAGAACTTGCAGTTTGATAACAAGCTTGGGAAGAGGCTCTCACATCTGGATTCCATCCGTGTAATAACTTCTTTTTACTTCATTAATTGGATCACTTACTCTTGTTACGTATGCTGTGAATGCAAGGTTCTATTGAATTTTATGACCCTTTAAATTCTCTTTGATAAAAAGTTATATATATAAAAGAAAAAACTGCGAATGTCAGTTTTAGTTGAACTGTTATTGAACATGAAAGCTGTTAGATCATTGAATGTAGTACTCAAGACTTATGCTTTTTTCAAACAATAAGAACAAAAATTACAACTTCATTAGTAGTATGAAATCCCACTCTCACACACACACAAACAAACGTCTTTCAAATGGCATAAGAAACATGATATTCACACCAAGAAAAAGCTACCAAAATGGCCTAGTCCATAAAACTCCAGACTTGTCTTTCTTGTAAGAATCCATTGTTTTTCTCAAGTCACAAAAGCAAAAGAAAGCTATCACAAATTGAAGCCATAGGATCTTCATATCTCTCTTAAAATCATGGCCTTCAAGGAATAAGGAGATGGAGTTGTTGATGTTGATGGGGGAGAGCCAAATCCCGACTTTAACTATAAACTGTAGTGCAAAAAATTCTAGAAATTTCCAGCCAGGGAACAAGTGTTGGAAAGATGTCCTTGGGATTCCAAGCCCATTTTACTCGATGAGAACCATCCTGAGGAGATGGAGCAAGATGGAACCTTCTTTTGAGTAAGGCCATGAGTATTTAATATTTGTATGGGAATTACGACTTGTGCATTGTTATTGATAGCTTTTCATGGTCTTTTCCATTAGGGGAAATCCCACAGTTTGGTTGAGCTCTTTGAGGTTCTCTCTATTCTCGAAGATCACCACTAGGCTTGGAATGGTGCCACTAGGATACCTGAAACTTCATTGTTGTGGTGTAACCGTGTACATAAGCGTTGCCACTTGTTTTGATATTACCTACTACTATTATTATTCTTTTAACATCGCAACTGTATGTTGGGCTGCAGAGCTTCTCCAGCTTTATAATTTGACTGTCTGCTTCATTATTATGATACCACCAACATAAAATGCATGCACCTCTACTTCTGTATTTATTTATCCCATCTATTATGAAAAAAGATCTGTGCTTATCTTTCTGAAATATACAGTTCTGGAACGTTATCATTATTGAAAGAGCTGATTTATTATGATTATGGCAGCATACTCCTAGGGTTAATGGTGAGATACCAAACGTGAATGATGCAACCTTAGACCATGAGCGGCTATCAGAGAGGTATTGATTTTATATCAGGTGCTACATCGAAGAAAATTAGCTTCAGGAATAGTCTCATGCTAAAAACATGACTAGCCATTAATGAAAATTCGAAATTCAACTTTTGGCTTCTGTAATTCGTTGTTTAAAGTGTGTACGAAGTAGCTTTTATTGATCATAGTGAGTCCTATAACAGATTGGTCACATATGGTTTAGCGGAGCTACAAATGGAAGGTGATGGGAATTGCCAGGTTTCAATAAGTTCTTGTCAATATCTTTTTTCTATTGAAATTTATAGTTATCCTGCACTTTATCGTTTATTCATCTCACGATGTTTCAAATAACATATCTTTTTAATGTATTAATAGTTTCGGGCATTAGCAGATCAGTTATTTCGAAATCCTGAATACCACAAGCATGTAAGAAAGGCAGTCATCAAACAGGTGCTATAAATTGAACTCTATTGATGCATATAATCAGTTAAATTGTTCAACGCTGCTATTTGGTCATAGATTGCTTGATAAATGTTGGTTAAAGCAAATCTTCATAGAAGTTGATAAAATTATTAAAGGACTGTATGTAATATGTGATGCGGGTTATTTGTAATGTATTAAATAAATAAAATCTTTCAAGCTATCCCCATATAACTTTTGATTCCCTACAACCTTGACAACACCATGTACTAGCTTCCTTATAGGACCCTAGGATGAATGTCATATGGAAGGGTGTTAATGGAGGTGATCACATATAATTTTTTCTTCAAACCAAATCTAAAAGTTGAAAAATACTGTGAATGAGAATTAAATTGTCTTGATAGTATATGATTTGAGAGAATCTCTTCGCAAAGCAGCACTCTTGTACATGTATTATTCTTGGAAAGTAGGAGGTACGAAAGAATAATTGAGTTTGTGTTTTGTCTGTTTTATAATTGATTTTGAAGTTTATTAGAACAGTAACCTGCACTTCATGAAGCATAGCATCTAGATATCAATACCCATCCCTATTGCCAGTACCTCCTTCCCCCCCCCCCCCATTTTCATGTTTTATTCTAGTTTTGATTTACTTGTGGGAAAGAACTTAAAAGCCCGCCTGCCATATTTTTCTTACCGCATATTTTCCTCTTTTCCTCCCACGTCAGTTAAAGAAATTCAGAAAACTATATGAAGGCTATGTTCCAATGAAGTACAAAATCTACCTCAAGAAGATGAAAAAGTTAGTTATCTATTAGTACACATATTTGACTTCTGCCATCCTAAGAAGGCATAGCTTGTCTTACTGAACTGAATAATTACTTGTTCAAATTTTAACACATCATTGAATCTTACCAGATCAGGTGAATGGGGAGATCATGTTACTCTACAAGCAGCTGCAGACAGAGTATGTTGAATGTTTATTCTTGCTTAACTGCTGTGAAACTCCTTTTTATGTATTCTTCTTGCTCTGCAAGGAGTTTGGGTTGAAAGATACAATTCAATTTCTGTTCATTTTGTAGAATGCTTAACGCGTGAAAATTTCTTTTACCAATACCTAAAATCCAAATATTTAAGGGCATATCATCTTTGTTTCACTCGAAGGTCATTTTGTACTCGCCACACTTATTTAAATGCACTAAAGATTAATCTTGAAAATGTCGCAGGTGGATCTTTTATTTTCTTTCAAATTTATATCTCTTGTGCGTGCGTATGTGTGTACTATTATTCACTCATGCAAGTGTCGAAACATAAATATATGGATCTCTCATCATTTTTCCCATCATTGAAATTTGAAAAACCATCTCTTTCCACCCACTCAAGAAAGTATATTCAAAATTGGTGATATTTTGAAGAAAAATTAAAGAGAGAAGAGGAGCATAAAAGAGCTACTCCAGTTAAAAAATGTACCATTATCCTTTCTGGGTATTATTGGAAATCGTTTTATCGATGAACTGGTATACGGACACAGCAAGGTTCAAATTGCGACCCGCTGTTAGCACTAATATCTTGTTGGTATCATTTCTGCAATGTAATTGAACTCTCTTTGATCTCCCTTTCACTTTCACTTTTGTGCATATAGTTGTATGTCATAGACTTGAAGAGTTTCCTAGACTTTCTAATTTCCAATTTATAATGTTGGGTAATTATTTCCCTCTCTTCCCGTCATTTTAGCCTAGTCTTAGCAATTCATGTGTATGCCAAGATATTTTTTCTGTTGTGTTAATGCTCTAATACTATTGGTTAGATTGTGACTGTTGATTTTACTAATTTGTAGTTCGATGCAAAGATCTGCTTAGTCACATCTTTCCGAGACACCTGTTATATCGAGATCCTTCCTAAAGACAATAATCACAACAAAGGTAAAGATTTCAATAGCCAACCAGTTAAATTGCTTCGATTGAATAGATGATTTTTAACAAATTAGAATTCTGAACTCTCTACGGACTCTAGGGGATAAGATATTTTCCGGAACAAGCAAATCATAATCATGGCTGGTTATTGGCCATTATTTTGTAAGCTACTTAAACATTACACCACTGAAATATCACTGAAAGTTGCAGATTGATTATCAGAGACTGTTTGTGTTATTTAGTTTGCAAGGTGGAAAAAGTTAAAAGTTAGATGGCACTGGACACTCTTGAACTAAGAACATTGCCACCATGCTCGAATCTTCGTCATATTTTTACCTCTGGACAACATGTCTGCATCACAATTTAGAATATTTTTCGAGGCATTGTGTGCATACCGACCTCTTGTGGCACTAGTTCTCATCTAACTTAGTTCGATCACTATTTAATCTAACTTCGGCAACCCTTTCATCTTGACAGAACTTTGGCTCAGCTTTTGGTGTGAAGTGCATTATAACTCGTTATATGCCTGTGGAGGTGAGATAATGCATATACCATATTAAACTGACCTGCTCGTTTCCTGTTCCATTAGCTTTCTTGGTGTTGAGTGGCTTAGATTTCTTGTATTGGGTCTTCTTGCAGATCTTCCTTCGAGAACTCCTAGAAGAAAGCATTGGCTTTTCTAGAGTAATGAAACGGTATCATCAACCCATATCATCTTCTGATTTCTTATGAATGAAATCTTAGAAAATAGCTAACACAATAATGCCATATATAGTTTTCTTCCATACAAATACCACGCAGACTTCTGTAACAATATATATATATATATATATAAGCATAGTATGTATTTATTTATACTCACAAACTAGAAAAGAATAGGAAATTTATAGATTCCTGATCCTGTTGATTGTTTGGTTTAGTTTTGGAAGAACATTATCATTGAATGTTCAGCTGCTCATCACTCATGGCAGTTCATGTTCTTGACAAGATGCGCTTTGTCTGTATATATTGTATTGAGTTGTAGCTTTGCTCTGATCACTTCCTTAGTATTTCTTTTTCAGGACTATATAATTCTAAGGATTCTGTTATTTTTGTTTTTTCGTTTGAAAGTCTTCTAAATGTCCTTTAAGTTGAAATTTGTAATGGCAGCTACTTAATTACATAGTTGTGTGGGTTTGACATTCTTTACGTTAAAATGAAGGCGATAACCGGTGGTTGCTTGTAGACTCTAGATATGTTTTTTGTTATATTATTATCTTTTCAAAAGTTTCATTTTAATTATTAATCATTGAATTTCTTTCCGAAATAATCATTTTAGGGAAAAGAAATATCATTTCGGTGATTGAATACGGTTTTCATGAAGTTCTTAGATTCCGAAATGTTTCAATTTTATCCTTTCTTTTTATTTGAATTTTAAAATGCTACATTTTTATTTTGAGTTTTGAGTTTAGGCTTCTATTTGATTCTTAAATTTTTAGATTTAATTTTTTTTTTTTTTTACCATTTAACTCTCATACTCACTTTTGATCCTTTGTGTTAATTTTTGTATTAATTAATTTAATATTTAAAGATTAATTAGAATTGAATTATTTTTCATTATTTTTCTTTATCATTATTAAAATTAATTAAAAATATTTACATCATTAAATATTTTAACTGTAAATATTTTAAATTAGTATAAATTTTAAAATTTAGAGACTAAAAATTTAACATTTTGAAACATAAAAATTGAAAGAAATTCAAACTCAAAATGCTAAAATTATAGTATTTTATAATTTATGAACTAAATCAAAACTATACTCAACATTTAAGGACTAAAAAAACACTATAAAAAGGCGTATTAGTATATTATATAATTTAGTGAAGGGGTTGGGGAACTAATTTAGAGACAAGGATAAAATAATGTTTTCAACCTCTACTTATCTTCACAAAATTTCACAACATATTCTTTGCTTTGTGAGGCTTGTGTAGAGAGAGAGAGAGAGAGAGAGAGAGAGAGAGAGAGAGAAACCCTATGAAATGCATAGGTAGAGCTTTTTCTTTGATATCATTAGAACGATCCACAAATTTTAACTCAGACAAAATATCTGATATCTGAAACAAAATAATTAAAATTAGCAAAGTTATTGACGTATAAAGGTAGAGCTATGATTTAGTGAAGTTATTCTGTTGATCTCTCCAAATGCGCAACCACAACCACAACTGCTCTCACTTTGCACTCTTCTATCTTTCCTCTACGATCTCAATTCAACTGTCCGCTTGGGCCACGGATGCTACACTTCTACAACTTAGGAGGTAGAAAATATCAATCAAAACTTGTACTAATTACCTGTTTTCCTTCCATCATAACTCATCATGCTCGTTCGATTCGGGTTGGGATTCGGACTCGGACTCGGACTCGGCATTTTCACTTGCTGGCTTCTCTGAGTCCTTCGACGATTGGTCACCTTGAGGCGAACTCTCATCGGTTGTCGAATTGGAGCTTTTTGTGTCTTCTTTACTGGAATCTGATTCGTTCAGAGGTTTCTCGATTTTAGGCTTCGGTTTGGGAATCTTGTCGATGCTGGCAACCTGAACAAGTATATTAGTTATATTAGCACTAGGATTGGATAATGACTTGGTAGCACAATGTGAATAATAATTCTTCATACCATTAGAAGCAGGAGAGAAAAGTTGGGAGCAAAATACCTTGTCTTGAATGTTTAAAACCTTCGAGTAAACATCTTCGGATGTAAATACTGGCGGGCTAGATGCCGAATTCCTACACAGAAAAGGAACCCCCTTCAGTCCATTTTTTTGCCATATTGTAGTATAATACACTACAGGTTCGTAAATGAAACCAATAAATTGAAAACTAAAATTCAGTTTGATAATTCTCTTAACAAAAATAATAGCTTTAAGATGAAATAGAAGTGAACACAAGAAAGTTGGCAATCAAACTTACGTTACGTCGAGAACTAATAAAATTATAACACAATCGTAATCAATGACCAGAGAGTGTAAGGCAACTTGTAGAACTATGAGTTGGCAAAGAAAGATTGGGCTACTAAATTGTAACCTCTAACTTCTGTAAATACCGACAGCGAACCAGAACAGAAGTCAATCACTGAATGAACTAATCTTGCCAGTTCGATAATTACAAGGACGACGATCTAAACCACCGCATTCAAAGCATACAAAATCGAGAACTTCAGGAAAAGATTAGGCATCAAATCAAAAGACAATTGATAGGCAATATATTAGGGAATACTGCTCAAAGGCCAAAGCACGTTCGAATGCAAACATAATGGATATAGTAAGCTGAGCATCATATTGGAAGGATACTCATTAGAATGGCGTCGTCCAAATGGGGATTCGTACTTAATTTGGAAGGATAATCATTAGTAAGTCGAGTGTCATGGTGTCACGGTCATGATTGTCCAAGGCGTGTTTTGTTTGTGGCCATGTGTCGGATGTCCTGTTCATGCTTGTCCAGGACGTGATGTCCATGGTTGCATGCCCTTTCCAAACCCCTTTTACTTGCTTTCATGATAGATAGACCTTTACTAAATTATCGATGGGTTGCTCACCCTATGAATATGCTCCAAGGTGAGAGCACATGTGTATTCCTTGAGACACCGCCTTGTGCCTAAGGTGGATAGTTTCACAAGAGTTGTCAAGACCAGCGTCCGAGAAGTGAGCATCAGCTAGATGTGAGTAAAGAGAAGTGAAGATGTAGGAAGACCAGAGAAATGGCAAGGCAGCGATTTCCATAGGAAGGTGACAAGTTGAGAAGTTGGCTAAAGTGTAGTGCCAATGTGGTGTGTAACAAGTTGGCTAAAGTGTAGTGCCAATGTGGTGTGTAACAAGCTTTTAGACATCGTTAATGGGTTGGTGTCATGATGAGTAAATGTCGTGGTTGGCTTGCAAGCCTCATCTTGAGGGTGCACCGTTGTGTGTGACTAGAGAATACGATGAGTGGGGCCAAGGTGGCTAAGTTGGGGCATGCTCACCCTAGCATAGGCGAGGATATATGGAAGCCAATATGGAAGCCAATTAGTTTGCCATGGTTATTTTGATGAGTCCCGGGCTGGGTCTAAGAGAAGGGAGGGGAGGCCCTAGATGGGATAGCCCACAACCATTGGGCAATTGTTTTGCCGTGCTAATGCTGCGAGTCTCTAATACCGAAGGAAGGTCCGTCAATGGGATATATCATAAGTAGCCAGTCCGAAGTCGGATTGTTATCGAGGACGATGTCAGGAGTGTCACAATCCCTAGAGAGAATGTGCCAGAGTCCATCGAGGACAATGACTAGTTTAAGTGGGGGAGAATGTCACAACCATACTATGTAGATAGTAGGTTGTGACTCTCACGTTGCGAAAGCAAAGCGGTAACCCTCAAGTGGTGGTCATCCGGCCACGCGAGAGCAAAGATAAACGAGTGCCATGAGGCGACCCAGGAGAACGATGCATCATCCAACACATCATATTATGTGTGTATTGACAAGAAACGAGACATAAGAAAGATAGGGGAACAAGTAGACAAGAGTGTCAAAGATAGGCTTGTTGAAGGATCGAGTAGGGCCCTGAGTAAACTCGAAAATCGTGGTTCAGGAGAAAATTTAGACATGCGGTCCTGGAGTCAAGTTTGTCCATATGAAATATGAAACTCACTTGAGTGAAAAAGTGTGGTAGCAAAATTCCTTGGAAGTTCACAATTAAATAAAAGGAACTAAATCTATTCAAGATCTAACAACTTACAAAATTAGAAATTCCTCATGTTAAGACGTGTGATTACAATTTTCCCACAAATAATAATTTTCCACATTAGAAGAATTAATTTATAAGTTTATGTCAACAGTTTGATTCAGTCAACAAATGAATGTCAGGAAGGAAGTCGGTAACAAAATCCCCAACAGTCAGGTTCTCATGGCAATTTTTTCTATCCATCAATGTGCTATTTCAAAAAAATTCGATTTGTATGGATAAAAAATGGCTCATTCAACTAATCAGGACAAATCGCTCAATACGGTGGAAATACCAGAAAGGAATAAGATCGGTGGTAGTATTCTACCACGATACCAAGAGAGTGCGTGCAGGAACAAAATAGCATGGGACTACAACGAGCGAGATGCCAGAAACTATACAATGAAAATAAGAGATCACTTACTTCTTTTGTTCAGCTTCCTTCTCATCCAACCAGATCGTGAACTTGTTGCTTTCACTTTTTACCTAGACAAGCCACACATAAAATTTCCAAAACACCATGCATCAGAAAGGAGAAATTTAAGAGCACTCATAAATACTAAAATACAAAGAACACAAAGCAAAATCTTACCTCTTGTATTCTTTCTTTTGGAAGCCAAGGTTTCCTAGTCTCCCAGTTTTCTATGATCTGCCATTGCTCAAAAAGGCCAAAAGGTCAATGTCTTATTAATTTTTGTAGCAGAATTCATTTGTGAAGAATGAAAATAGAAAAAGGCCCACAAAGACATGGGCAAACCAACATCGGGACAATGAACATAACATGAAAGAGTCTCAATGGTTGGTAATCAAACAAAAGGGCAATTACGAAAAAAGATTAGATTAGGTGAATGAATTCATAATAGACGCGTGAAAATGCGCTAGACCTCAAGTTTCATCACATGTTCTATTTAGATTATCAAATCCTACTTTCTTACTAACCATAAATTCTACATAACAAAAACTAAACCAGCTTGACAAAGTATTCACCCTTCATCCTGAAAAGAAGAAACTAATTCAACTTCCAATGTCATGGTATACAAACTCGAGCTCAGAGCTATAAACGTACCAAAAATCAGTCAAAAGAACTCCACAACTAAGAAGCATAAGGGCATTAACACAATTGATTCTAATCCTTCGAAACACACCTACACAAAGCCACCCAAAAATCCTCCCCACGTGTGATCAACCAAAGCCTTCAGCTTCCACAGTTCAGAGAAAAAAAGAGGGAGAAACAAGAAAGGAAAGAAATTGAACACTCATACAACGAATTGCAAGTGAAGACATCACATGAGATAATTTCTTTTACTCAGAAGCAAGATTACACTACCAATAATAAAACACAGTGAAGCTAACCCTGACCTCTCCATCATATAG